TTATGCTTCTACTGCTGCTTCCATGTCATCGCTTGCATTCTCGGGTTTCCCCGGTCTACAAGTAAAGTTAAGGTAAATAAGTCCAGTATTTTAATTTAAGGATTATAATGATTCATTATTGTTTCCGTGGGTACCAAGCGCTGCGTCCTGGGACTGGTAACGGTATCGCGATCTTGTAAGAAGTGGTTCACTGGGTTTTCCTATGACATGTTCCTGTTTGGTGCCGTTGTATGGTGGTGTCAGATTGGGGTGTGACATACACGTTATGTATAAATTGGCTCGTCTATTGGATGGATTGGGTTGCATCATTCTAGAGGGCGAGCTGTGACAAATGGTATCAGAGTAGACCTTTGTGGTTGCGCATATGCCAATGCAACTTTCACGATTTTTGGAATATGCTATTATTATTCACCTATCTAGAACAATGATATTATAATTTCACTGTTTTTGGATATATGTTACTACTTACCCTTCAGTGTATTTTCTAAAAATTTTTGGACCAAGATGCCCATGCCTTCTTCCACTCTCCCAAACAACGCCATTCGCCTTCCACTTGAACGATGCCACACGCTTTCCGCCGGCCGACTCTGTTGTCCGTCCATCCTTCTTCTTGGCCGACACCATTCATTACCTTGATGGTGTTGTAGCGCTGCAAAGTCCTGGTAGAGGAAGCATCATCCCACGAGCACCCTCGAGTGTGAGCACTACATCGGAGACGGAGGCATAGTTGACATTGTGCGAGGATGTGGGAAAATTTGATGGGGGCAGGTGGACTACGGCGGATCTGTCAGCTTGCCATGAACGAAGGGTGCTAGGACAAGACTCGTGGAGAATTGGGGACAAAAGCGGAGTCAGCTCTACCTAGCGGCGGGACCGATGCTCCTTGTTGATGGACGGATGGCGGTGGATGTAGCCTCCGTCACAGTGTCGGCGGATCGAGGCGGAGACGGCGGCTTTTCTCGGTGTGTGATGCCTGGACGCGGGGATAAGGATAGGAAGGGGAACAACGGTAGGAGGGGTTGTCGCCCCATGGGTCGTGGACGGGGATGGGTCTGGCCGACATGGAGGCTTTGAGCTCACCGGCCTCCTCTTCGGCATCCTAAAGGCAATATGGGACACAACTGCTTGAGGAGCATCGTGAGTGAATGATGCTAGTGGAGATGATAAACATGAGAGAGGAGGGGCTGAAGGAAGAAGATAAGATTAATTTGGTTTAAAAAATTTAGAAGATGTATTGATGGGTAGGTACTAACATATCTCGAATTCATAGAAGATTGTAAGGGCAAGTTTTATATTAGAGGTGACTACCACATCTAATTTCATACTCTCTTCATCTACTCTTGATAGACATATTTCTAAATCTGAAAAATTTACTTTTGATAGGTATATTTCAATCCAACCACCTATCCTCTTAATAACTTTCTCGGATTTAATGCGTGACTCTCCATTCTTCCATACAAGATTAGCTACATGGGCATCGAGAAATGTAAATATTAATGAATCGCTTGTTTACGAGGAGTAACTAGTAGCATGTTTAAATGGATGATAATTAAGTATAATTACTTATCCTTGGTCATTGTGCTAAGATGAAATATTACTATCAAAAGTAGATGGAGGGAGTACATGTAGTAACATATAGTATAATAGTTGCCTCTACAACACAATTCCCAATATCTCTAACACTCTCACATATTTATTGAAATTTATGTAGAGGCTGCTCCTTGCTATAGTTCACCATATGGGCCGCCCGGCACGGCACGGCCCAGGCACGACCGGGCCTGGGCTGAGGTCAGTCGGGCCGGCATGGCCCAACGAACAAGCCGTGCCATGCCGTGCCAGCCCACGGGCTACGACCACAGCCCAGGCACGACCCAAGAAGCCTCGGGCCGTGCTGGGCTGGCCCGACGGCCTGGCCAGCCCATCGTGCCTATGCCGGCCTAGGCACACCCTGGCAAAAAACCCCTTCATCAATTCAATTCAATATCAAAAATTGACATAACACATCAAATTCATGAAATTCACATGTAATTCATCAAATAGACAACCACTTCATCAAATATATCAACCATTCAACAAACTTACAAACAATTCATCAAAGAGATTTACAAATCACTTCATCAAATCATAGATTTACAAACAATTCATCAAATCACAGATTTACAAACAATTCATCAAGTCACGGATTTACAAACAATTCATCAAGTCATAGAGTTACAATCATTTCAAATCAATTCATCAAATACATCAGCCATCTACTATTCTTCATCAGAATTGTTCATCTCAGAATTACATAAATCACAGTTCACACTTCACAGAATCACAAACAGAACTCAGAAAGTCAGAATATAAAAGGGGTTTATATAAGCTGCTTAGTGCAATGGCTGCCTCATTAAAAACCTTTCTAGGTAAAAACTCACACCTCGTGAGAAAACCCTAGAAAGGAAAAGAGTACAGCCCACAGCTAAAATGCTCACATCAATTACAATCATCCAGTTCAAGGGTTTACATCAATTTCATCATCAAGATACATATTCTCATAAGCATTTTGAAGCTCCATATTCTCGGTGGTATGCTGACCTTTTGCATCTGCTAGCTCCCAGTCCTTGAGCACTGCCAGAATTTCCACCAGCCTAGGGTTTAGACGCTGCCGACGGTCCTCGATGATCCTGCCAGTTAAGCTAAAAGTAGACTCGGACGATATAGTAGAAACAGGAATAGTCATAACATCTTTAGCTAAGATTGAAAGAACATGATAAGTTAGTTTGTGCTGTTGCCACCAGCTAAGGATATTGAAGTCATCATCATATTGGTTGACTGTGTCACTGTCAAGATATGTAGACAGTTTAGAAGCATTGAGATTAGCAGTTGAAGAAGCTGCCTGAAGCAAAGTAGTAGCAGATGTCATCCTAGATAATGAACTAGCACCTGGACTTTCACCAGCACCAAGCCCAGCACCTGGACTGGCACCAGCAGCAACAGAACCAAAAATCTTCCCCCGTGCAGTCCTTTCCTTACCAGTGGAAGGGCCTAGAATACTGGAACTATGCAATCTAATAGAACCAAACTTACTTTCATACTTAGCAAAAGTATCAGACAATGCAGCCCTAACAGTAGTTAAATAAGCAGAGTAATCATCACCAATGAGTTGAGCCATAATCTGAAGAACTTTACTAAACCCCCTGATCTTGGCCCTAGGATCCAAGATAAATACAAATGAATAAAGAATTGGAATTTTAGACCAGTAGGTCATGAACTTATCTTTCATGGGACCAACAACATTTGCAAGGTTTTCAACATTGCCATAAGTGTTTAGATGTCCAGCAACCTCTAAAATGTGATGCATGATTAATAGAGATGTTGGATAATAAACACCAGACAAAACAACAGTTGAATCATAAAACTGTTCAAGGAAACACAAAACAGATTCAGCACATGCCCAATGTAAGTCTGTGAGTAATGGATGGACATTAACAAAAGGATGTTGTGTACAAATAAACACTGTGAATGGTTCCCTATGTGGTATAAGATGCTTAAGCATTAGATAAGTTGAATTCCATCTAACATCCATGTCCAAACCAAACATACGAGGACAATAACCGGCAGCAATGCAAACATTTTTATATGTAGCAATGCGCTGATTAGATGCATTTAAGAATGAAATAGCAGCTCTAATGTCATTTAGCATGGGCTTGACTTGTTATGTCCAGCCTTAACAATTAAATTGATGATATGACATGCACAACGTTGATGCAAAAATAAATCACCAACATAACCAGACAGAGCAGGAGTAAGGGTTTCCATTGCTTTAGAATTAGCAGAAGCATTGTCTAATGTAATAGAGAAAACCTTATCAGTAATACCATATTCTTCAGCAACAACAATCACACGCTCAGCAATATTAGCACCAGTATGTGACACATCAATGAGCTTAAGACCCAAGACCCTCTTTTCTAATTGCTAATCAGAATTAACAAAGTGAGCTACAACACTCAAATAATCTTCCTTAGCATGACCAGACCATATATCAAATGTCAAAGCAATAGAGCTAGTAGACTTGAGACGCTCAACAATAACAGAACAACGATCCTTAAACAACTTATGAAAATCTTTGGCAGTAGTTTGTCTAGAGACAGGAACAAATCTAGGGTTATGAGCAGCCTTAATATAGTTCACAAAAGCAGGAGATTGACCAAAACAAATTGGAAGATCCTCTCTAGCAATCAATCTACACAATTCAAACCTAGCAACTTCAGGACTATATTCCCATGAAATAACAAAACCATCTGCATTAAATCTAAGCATGGACTGAGGCAAAGCATTAGACCCAAGCCTTCTAGGTTTGCATGACTTAATATGCCTGAGCAAATGTCCAGTGCCAGCAGAAGAACGAACACTCAAAGTTTTATGACAGTAATTGCATTTAGCAGAGACTCGAACCTTATTACCATTGGTCGTGTCATAAAGTTCCTCAAAGTCATCCCATACCTTGGAGGTTTTGGTCTTCTTGTTGGTAGCAGTGGCACTAGAGCCAGTCGACGTCCCATTGCCACTGTCATCAACCGGCAGGTCGTCGTCGTCGACATTCACACAGATCGGGCTATCGGAGGTATTGCCGAACACCTTCACACGATCCTCCTCCACATCATCATCGTCATCACTGCGCATCCCCATAATCTTCAACTCGTAGTTGACAGAGCTAGGATCATCTTCCATCGTAGGCACTCCGGTCCCTCAACGGCGACTGCCGCTAAGCAACGGGCTTGCGACCTACAAGAAGCCAAGCCCACTCAAAGTAAGGGCTCGGAAATGGAGAAAAAAAGATGAAAAAGATGAGTTTCATGCTTGTACCTGCGCAGCCGGAGTACCGGAGTTGCCGTTGAAGACGATAGGCTCACGGATCTACGAGAAGACCAAGGGATCCGACGAAGAAGAACAAAAGGGAAAGAGACGAAGAGGAAGGCTGGATCTGGAAGAGTGGAAGGACGACAACTCAGGCGACCATGTGTGGCCGGGTGGCCCTCATGCGCCCCTCATGCGAGTCAGGCGAGGCATCGATCGGAGACGAAGAGAAAGGCTGGATCTGGAAGAGTGGAAGGGACGCGACTCGGTGAGTCGGTGTCGGTGAGCGCCTAAGCGGTGGAGGCGGAGCGACGGACGGTGGAAGAGGAGAACTAGTGGGTGGGGGAGCGGTGGAGGCGGCTGAGCCCGGCGGCGTGGCTATGGTTAAGGTTAGGGTGGAGAGGCGGAGAGCCAGAGAGCGACTAGGGAGGGGAGGGGGCGCCGGGCGCTTATATATGAGGGCGCGGGCGATGCGGCCTGCCTCTATCTGTTGGGCTGGGCCATGCTCGTGCCTACCGTTGGTGCAGGCTGTGGTCGTGCCGATCATTGGGTCGTGCCGTACTGGGCCGGCCCACCGTGCCCAGTCATAGGCCCAGGCACGGCCCAACAGTCGGGCCGGGCCGGCACGGGCCTGACTGCTACCGGGCCGTGTCGTGCTTGGGCCGGGCCAAATTCTCATGCCGTGGGTTGGGCCATCGGGCCTTATGGCCAACTATACTCCTTGCATGAGAGACGACTATTTCTCTCTTATCTTTCTTCTCTCCTTCACCTCATGTGACATCTTGGGGCTTGTGTGTTTGGATGTTTATAGTTCTTGTCCTAGTGATATAATTCCAAATAAATAAATAGTAATAGTAAATTTTGAAAACTGTAAAAAAAAGTAATGGTACGGATCCAATTTGACCATTATTATACCTCTTTTTGGCTCGTACAGGACGCTTGAAATGGAGGAGACCAAGTGGACATACATGTACAACCTGATCCGACGCGCGCACAGAGACGAAGATGTCCAGATCAAGGTGACCGAGTACCTCAGATGTATCGAGCGGAGTTCATCAACAATCTGGCAGCGCTACGGCCGTCAGGAGGATAAAAATTTGAATACAAAGGAAATGGTGGAGGTGATGGTGCTGGACGGCCTCTTCATCATCGAAGTGCTGATTAGGCACTGGATTAATAATGGGAAGATAAAAACAGACCAGTCGGTCTATCCGGAGGCGGAAGGTCCGCAAGTTCCACCGAAGGTCAAGTTGGAGCCGCACGCACTTCGTTTGGACCTCGTAATCCTTTCAAACCAGATCCCCTTCTTCGTGCTGGAGGATCTGTTCACGATGACCCCCCGCGTCCCCGAACTCAGGGATACAAAGCTCAAGGTATTAATACTCTACTATCTCTTCGGCAGTGTAGGTGATGGTGAACTGGTCTGTGACGAAAGCTCCGTATACCATATACTGCATCTGGTGTATAAATACCTAACGTTTTCCAAGGAACAAGCTTTGCCCGAGACGCCGGTTCCACGGCTATCGTTGGTAGGCAGGGCCATGAACATGTTGAAGAAGAAGCGTATAGATCTCTACGCATTTTGTAAGCGGACGTTCTCGCGTTCCTCTACCAAACCTGTGAACTGGCTATCCTGGAAGGAGATCCCGCCGTTGAAAGAACTCGTCCGAGTTGGCGTGAGGCTAAAGCAGGCGGAGACCTACCGGTTTACAGAAGTAAAGTTCAAGGACGGGAAGCTAGAGATTCCGGCTTTTACGTGCCGGCTTTACGACGCCCGGCTGCTCGCCAACCTCGTGTTCCTGGAGATGTGTGGGTGGTGGCCGCGCGAGGAGCGGCTCTTCTGCAGCTATGTCATGTTCATGGCAGAGCTCATCTCGGATAAGAAAGATTTTGCCCTGCTCTTTAAGAAGGGCATCGTCCACGGGAACAGCTACAAGGAAAACTTTGGGGACCTCTTCATGGACTCGATTGTGAAGCTTGCAGAAGTCGGACAGGGTTCCATCAACGTGCCCCATTTTTCAGACCTCATTGCCGACACGGTCCATTGCTACCTGCGCTGGACCAAAGAAGGTAACTGCCGGCGTAGAAGAGACTAAAGATAGCGATTTTGCTATATATTCGTCGACAAATTTTTCCCTAAAAATTTGACAGATGTAATTACAGTACAATCATAGTGTAATTACATTATAACTTGCATGTAATTACACTGTAACTATAGTGTAACTTGTATGTAACTTTCAAAAATCTCTCCGTAACATGTTATTTCGGTAAAATAGAGGTCGTGGGAACAAATTCTTTCACATATGTGTGTGCTATGATTTGTTTTCTTCCTCACCAAAATAAATCTTGTAATAGATCTAACGATTCAAAATTATGTGAAACTTACATATAAGTTACACTGTAGTTACATGCAAGTTACAGTGTAATTACACTACGATTGTACCATAATTATATCTGTCAAATTTTTAGGAGAAAATTTGTCGACAAATGTATAGGTGGTCCCAAAGATAGTATTAAGTATCCAATAAGATGACAAAACTTTTACGGTGTCCATAACCTTACGGTAGATTAATTTTCCAAGTGTGCTGCCATTATGTGCTTCGAGATTCGTTCCAAAACTATTTGTTTTTATTTAGCTTTTTCCTCGTTTTGTATTCCCTCGGTTGCATCGAATAAGGCACACATATTTTAAAATTCAACTCTTATGATATTTGATGAGCAATTATTTTTGTTTGATGAAAAATATAATTGGAATGATATTTGAATTTATTTTCTAATCATTATGATTTTGTAGCTATAAATGTTAAACATTATTGTATATGAAAAATTTAAAGTCAAATATTAGTCTTAAGGACCGTTTTAAGTTTTGCTATGCCTTATTTTCAAGAGTAAATTTTAGAAAACTGCAACTCTAGTGACAACTATCAGTTTGCTATAACATTAGTAACATGTTTCAGTTTGCTGCAACAATAGCGTGGGAAATTATCACAAAACTGCAACTTTTAGTTATATGCTGCTACAATACATATAGGTGACAATTGTAGCAGTATATAATGTAAAAGTTGCAGTTTTGTGATAATTTTCCACGCTATCATTGTAGTAAACTGAAATATATCGCTAATGTTGCAGCAAACTGATAGTTTTGTCAATAAAGTTGTAGTTTTCAGAAATTACGGAGATTATGGCTATCATATACGGACAACTTATCTCTACTATTATAAAAATTGAAGATGTTTTTGCCGGTATTTTGGTACATCATCTGTATTTGAGTCGGTTTTTTAAGTTTGTTCACTTTTGAAAATACAGCTACGTATTTGAGTTGAATTTTAAATTCGTTTGCTTTTGAAAATATAAAAGAAATCGTATAAGAAATCTCTTTAAATAACTCACGTGCTAACTTGAGATGAAAGTCGGACTCCTAATTGCAGTTCATGATTTTCTAAAAAAATATCCAAGAAAATTCCCACAGTGAATTTCATCCTAACTAAACCGTATTAACAATAATAAGATTAAAATAGCATTCACCCGTTACAACATACGGGTATTTTTTCTATTCAATTAAAGATAGGAGGTAGGTCAGATCAGTAGATTATGCAAATAAACTAGGCTTTGGAAAGTAAATTTCTTGTGTTTCCAAGGAGTGTTACATAGTTTTAGTCATATACGACTATGTAAATGTATAAGGAAACCTAAGTCGTGTCGATCTGGGTCTTTCTCTTTGTAACCCTACCCTAGAAGCTATATAAGGAGATAGAGAGCCGTCCAAGCACTACTAGAAAAAAGATTTTTCATGGCGTTGCCCTATGATTTTCGCTGGCGGAAAAATGCGAAAACTGCCAGCAAGTACGTAACGAGGGGGTGAGGGGCACTGACCGCCAGCGAAAATAGATCTTCGCTAGCGGCAACGTTGGACGGGCCGCCAGTGAAAATTTCACTGGCTGACCACTTAAGCCACCGCCAGAGGGCCGCGGGCAGCGGATCCGGCCGCGGGAGAGGCGCGTGCGTCGGATTCGGCCACCGGACAGCCGTTGGAAGTGCATAGGCAACAGGAGTGGCGCGGACGGCGGATTCGGTGAGGGTTCGGGCTTCGGCAGCTGGCGGTGGTCGCGCGCGCGCGCTTCGGCTCAGGCGTGGGCTTCGGCGGGTGGTGACGACGGCGGCGGCGGTGGTCTCACGGGCAGGCTTCGGCGGGCGGCGACGACATCAACCGCGCGGCGGCCACGACGACGGCCCTGGGCTGCCTTGAACGGGAGCTCGACGACGGCAACTCGACTCCCTCGCCAATGGCAACTTGTTGTTTTGGGATTGTGACTGTGATTTACTTCTGCAGCTAAATGTGAATTGTGATTGGGGATTTGGGACAATGATTTGGGATTTGGGATAATAATTTGGAATTTTTGATTTTCTGCAGGTTGTTTTGGATTCAAATTTTCAAAATTTTTTTTGCTCCAAAATATATTTGCTGCCAGGTCTCATAACTCTGCCGCCAGCGAAAACTGACTTTTGCTGGTGGCTATCTTAGCTTGGCCGCCAACAAAAATCAATTTTTGCTAGCGGCCGACTTAACTTTGCCGCCAGCGAAAACTGATTTTTTTCTAGCGGTCGGCTGCCCGCCAGCACAGATGACTTATTTTCACTGGCCTTTGGACACTGGCGGCACTGGTAGCCACCAGCGAAAACGTGTTTTGGCCGCCAGGAAAAACCTTTTTTTGGTAGTGAAGGGCATAACCACAACTCAATCGTCAGATCTATACAACACTATACAACACTAGACAGATTCAATCCTCGAAACAGGAGTAGTGTTTTACTCTTCATCTCGAGAAGATCTAAACATGTCTAAACTTTATCCCTTTACTCATCCATTTTAAATCTCGTGCGCTATTCCCTTTTCTCATCACCGATTTCTTTAATCGATACCACTGGACTCGTGGTAGTAAAGGGCGTGTTTAGATCCAGGGGTGTAAAGTTTCGGCGTGTCACATCGGATATTATATAGGGTGTCACATGGGGTGATCGGGCGCTAATTAAAAAACTAATTACAGAATCCGTCAGTAAACCGCGAGACAAATTTATTAAGCTTAATTAATTTGTCATTAGCAAATGTTTACTGTAGCAATTAGGGTTAAAAGATTCGTCTCACGAATTAGTCGCAATCTGTGTAATTAGTTATTTTTTAAGCATATATTTAATACTTCATGTATGTGTTCAAACGTTCGATGTGACAAGGTATAAAATTTTAGCATGGGATCTAAACATGCCCTAACTTTTCCTTCTCTCTTGCAAGAATTGCCTGCATTCTTTTTTTTTCCCAACACAAAGACGACGCTCCTCCGACAGGAGAAATTATAGCCGCTCATCTATCTCTAAGGTGTACCTAGAAGTTAGGGGGCAAGAGTGAAACATATATAATTGAGTCCTAAAACCCAAAACAGAATTGCTACAAAACTTGAGACAGTTTTCTTTGGAAAAATTCTTTCGAGTTTTCAGCCCTCGGATTCGCTCCGAGATTCGTGCGTGCGTGATGGAAGAAAAGAGCAGAGAATAGTGCCTTAGAGAGGAGTGGATCCTGCTGCCTACCCTTCTACGTAGAGCAGCGTACAAACCACTAAGCCAGCTCAAGTTTTCAAATTAAAATCACGGTTACATGCTACTTACATCGCAACTACAATTAGACCCTGTTTGCCCCCCTAATTTTTGGGATAATCCTAGCAATGACGTCAGTGTTGGAACCAAAGGCTAAAATAATTCGAATATTTTGGTAACTTGTTTCTGTCGAACGTTTTATAAGCAGTATTCGCGTACTTTAATCTACTTACATAGCACTTACATCTGTTACATATCACTTACACCTTAGTTATAGAGCAGTTACATATCACTTATACAGTTATATGATAGTTACAGGGTATTTACATTGTGTAAAATTAGAATTTGTAATTCTTTTCAAAAGCATGCGTATTACTTTTGAAATTGAAAGTTTTTTTCCCGTTACATGTTGGTCATTTTCTTGCCGTTCAATCAGCTTGATGCTAAGATTTGTGGTTATTAATTACTTTTGAATTTGAAAGTTTTTATTGGTGCAAACATGTTTCCCAGTAATTGTTGATGATATATCCCGTGGTTGAAAAATTTGAAAGTTCCGGGTCTCAAAAACTGTCGACAACTCGCTAGCTAGTCCCAAATCATATTTTATTTTATTATAAAAATTCAATATATGTTATTTTTTATCAGACACGTATGAAATATTAATAGTAAAATATAGGCCATTATACACACTTTGCTCTCGCCAGTCCATTCATGCATGGTGGCTCCTCCCGTCTTTCTCTTCCCCCGTACCAATCTGCTCTGGTAAGTGTGCTGAGGTGGAGGCGTGAGCAAGCAAGCTGCGTTCGGTGGACCAAAAGGTTCAGTGATTCCGGGAAAATATGGGGTGAAATCTAAGTCACAAAAGTTCTCGGATCGATGGAACGAGGAACTGGAACGTGAAACGTGGGACGCCATTTTTTAAAAACATGAAACAAGAGGGGTATACCTCTTCCAAAATTACGGAACTATAGGTGGAACGTGTTCCTATTTTTTTTGAAACGATAATCCCGAACGTAGAACTATACGTGTGGTCATGGCGCTCATGTATGAATTTTGGTTCTTCATTTTTTTTTTTTGCCATTCATGTGACAGCTCATCAGCCAAAAGAATTTTGGGCCATGTGTGCAAACCAGCCCATCACGTGAAAGTGAACCCTAGCACATCACTTCGTCTTCATCAGTCGTCCCTATCCCCAGCCGCCGCCTCCAGTAGTCCAGTCCACTAGGTCGATGCAACGCCGGTGGCGCAGCGTGATGACTTCCTCGTTAGTGCAGGAGCAGCGCAATGGAGGGAGCAACGCGGCTGCGGTGCGCCGCTCGCCGGCGCCCCTCTATTTCTCCCTCCTCTTCTGTTCGACAGCGGCGGCGTGCGCTGGTTTATGACTTTTTGTTCCTCGGCATAACAGCGGTGAGCAGCGAACCCTTCTTGTTTCTCCATTGCCTGTACCGCCCTTCTCGTTCCTCCACTGCTGTACCATGTTTTGGGGTCGACGATCCCTCCGTTTTTGGAATGA